AGTGTCTTGGTTTTCCAAGTTTCATGTCTTGTTCTTACGATAGTGCTATAAAAACTTTATAAATTATGGCGTGATTGTGGGAATAATATCTCTAAATTCAACCAATCCAAGTTATTTTTGTTTTCCAAAGGTCCTACACTATACCGGGTCTTAGGGGGCTGTATTCAACTGGAATTTTTGAAGACTTTGATGAACTTTCTTTAAATGATGATTTCTGTGGATTTCGTATATTTTTTAGATATTTGTATAAAATTAGTGGAAATTTTTTGTAGATTTTCATTTTAAAACTTTTATAGACTTTTGAAGACTTTCATTTAAGATAGAATTTATGTAGATCTAGTGCAATATTGTGTAATTATCTCATACGAGGTGATGGTTCTTACAATTCTCATTTTCCTTCCCTTTCCCCCAAATAATAAAAAAATATTTTAATAAGAGTAATAATTTAAGACCATAATTAAATAAATAATAATATTACATATAAAAAAATAAATTTCATATTTAGTATTATTAATATAATATACCTTTAAATAAAAAATAAAAAATATATATTTAAATTTAATTGTAAATTAGTCTATATAAAATTTTATAATTTAATTAAAAATAGATATTTTTCAGAAAAATTAATGGGAAAAAAAACATTTTTAAGAATACAATTTAATTCTTTCTTAGAAAATAGAAATAAACAATAAGAGAGAAAAATAGAAACTACTATAATCAATAAAAATAAATAAATTTTAATCATGACTCTAATGTTCGTAGAATGGAAAATGAAAGAGAAATATTTAAAAAATATTAATTTCTTTTTTTTTTTGGTGAAAGTCTATCAAAATCTTGTGATTAATGATAGACAAATTTTAAGATTTTATTTTAGTATTTTCTGCTTAAAAGTTAGACTTCTATAGAAGTCTCTAAAAGTCATTAAAATTTGAATACCCCAAGACTTATAGAAACTTCTAAGAAATTTCAATTAAATACACCGCGACTTTTAGAGATTTTTTAAAAAATTATAAAAGACTCAATTGAATATACCAATACTTTTAGAGAATCTCCAGAAGTCTACATTGAATACCCCTAAAAATTTTAAATCCCAAAAGTTATTAAAAATCTCAATTAAATACACCCCCTTTAGTGTTGGCAAGTTATCAAATGGATGGTAAGTTTTACAATTGTTGGCTGCTTCAGAATTATAAATGAGAAACATATATAGCAATGAGCAAAGCCAATATTAAGACTTAAGTTTCATTGTCATTGATGAATCTGCCGGTGTTTATTTTTACCATTCCTTTATGTACTTTATCTTAAAAGTGTGACATTTTACTCTCTTGAGGTCTTAATTAGGGCGGTTCTTTTATATTTATGCACCTAGAAAATGAAAATGATGGAAAAAATGAACTGTTTCGTAGTTACATAGGCATTTTGTTTGTCACGTGAATTGTTTCGTTAGTTTAAAAAATGGAAGTTAAATATGTATAGTTAGAATATAAATTTGTATATTCTTGTTTAATTTTGATAAAAAGTTGAGTTTATGGTTTTGATATCATCCACATAATATTTAAATTTTCTCATATCAAAGCAAGAAGGTTAAAGCTCAAGTCTGCCATGATTACCATTTTTTTTCTTTTGTTTAATTTTTGTTTCGATTGTTGAATTTTGTAGATTGCTGTTGTCAAAATGTATAAGAATAGAACACATTTGAGATTGCTCAAAGAATGGCAACCAGCCAATGAGGTTTTACAAAGCTCTTAGGCTCAGATTTTGATCTCATTAGTAGAATCAATACGGATTATAGGACAACTATAGATTTTTTTTAGTATTAGTTGATTGTTATTCCATTTAGCAATCATGTTTTATTATTGGTGAAAAAAGAATAATCCTCACTTTGGAGGACGTGGCTAGGATTACGAGATTTCTTATAGATGACATGCCCGTAATTGGACGTGATTTCAAAGTGGATGAATGTCCCAACCTTTGTAATGTAATATTGTTGTATCCTAAGTTTTACGCGAGAAGAATAAATGTGACATAATTATTAAAGATTTATTGTATTTTAAAGACATTCTCCCTTTAATAATAGAAGCTGAACTTGACCCTTATATTATGGCATATGTACTTTATGTTATTAGGTGTTTTTTGGCTCCTCCAAGGGATCGTGGATCAGTGTCTTGCATGTTCCTTGCTTTATTAAGAGATGTTGATGCTATGAGAAATTATGCATGAGGAGCTGATTTGCTATACCAACTGCACCACAGTTTCATGGAATTTAAGAAGGCAAGAATCCATGGAAGAATCCAAAAATTATGAGTTTTTGTGCTCTTTTTCTCACGATAATTATTATTTTTATTTATTTCCTTCATTGCTATAGATTATATAAGTTAATGAATTATAACTTACATTTTTCATTTGTGTAGTTTTTCTTTTACGATCACATGCTCATAATTCTCTGCACTCTATATGATTTTGATATTTATGGAGAGAATTTTGAAGATAGAGAGTTATTTTTGACATTTCCATTGATGGTTGGATGGTCTCATTTGGTGAAGCGCAAGTCAAGAAATTCTTATATAAAAAGAAAAAGAGAAGAATTTGATTTGATTTAATGCTTAGAAATATATTTCATTTATGTGAATTTTTAGTTACTCTACTCTAATTTTCTTTAATTTTCAATTTAATTTTATGTTATTTTCTCTCGTTAGATTATGCGGCGGCCATATGCTAGATTGCGAGACGATTTTTTGCCCCAGTATCTTGTTGGACAGATGGAAGTTGAGCTTTCATGCACAATATTGATATGCTTTGAAAAATTAGTATATCATAGATCGAACTTGTGTCCACTGAAACTGAACTTACAAGTTGATTTAGTTCCAGTTGAGTCATCATTGAAAATTGTCAACAAAAAGCGCATTGCTTCTCAGAAATTTGATTGGAATGTAAGGCATGCTGATTTCGTAAAGATGTGGGATGAGAGAAGATTAAATCTGATTTTGAACAGAATTGGTAATTTATTTATCTTGTCCTTTTTTTTCAATTTGTTAAATTTTATTTATGTTTTAAACTAATCATGTTCTTTTTATGTTTGGTAGACGTGGATGAAAACCAAGGGGCTTCAACTTCTAATGGTAATTTATGAACGTTTTGGTTAATGTTAATTGTTTGGTGTTCTAGATTGCTTGTGTTTAGTTTTTTTTAGTAGAAGATCAAACGCCAATGATGCCAGGAGAACTTGAAAGCAACCTAGGGGATGACTGTCAAGAAACCGAGGTTAATGAAAGTCATGATGAAGATCAAACTCCTACTGAATCGTACGAAGCAAGCCCCAACTATGATGTGGATGAGGATGGCATGAGGAGAGGCAAGAGGGCGAAGACAACCCCTCCATTGCTTGGTCCATTTATGGTTGATTCAGCCATCCGCAGAACTCACAAACATGGCAATTGAATGACGGTAAGTGGTATCCCATACGATTAGTTTTATATAATTTATTAGGATGGAAAGAGGGTCATGGATGTTTGATTCAATAATGCAGGTAAAGCCCAGAAAGTTATTGCTGTTAGACTAACTTTTTTTTTTTTTTTAAATAAATTTACTTGAGAAAACCTAACATAGGGTTTTCTTATGAGGTGGTTGACAGTGGAGCAATACAGTGATTACAAAAAGTTATTGTTGCCTGGGTTTTTGGCGGGACAAACTTGAACTAGAGGTTAGCAACGAATTTTGAGGGATTTATTGATGTATTTAGTTTTAAAATTTAAAGTTAAGGTAAATCAATGACAAATTCAAAAATTATTTTTGCAGAGAAGGAAAATATATGCTGTTTTCATCTGAGCATTTGCGGATTGTCACTTGGGGATGTTGTTAACTTGACTTTAAATCAAACTACTCGCTGAAATCACTCCAACCCATCTTGATCTACGCCTCTATTAAGATGTGGGGTTCTGTTTGCCCATTAAAGCAGTAAATGAGTTGGGTTCAGCAGTTGTTCCCCTCCCAAGGATAGGTTCTTACGCGTTACTCACTGGTCCGTCACTGGAAACACCACCTGCCGTCCGACTTGCTTTTATGGACCTTGTTAAGAGGAGTAATAAAAATTTTAATATGTTGATTAGTATTTTTTTTACATAACCTATGTGGATTTTACCCTTAACGGCCTCCACTCCCACCCAGCATGTTGCTTCGCCACCCAACCGTCTCATTTGGTGCCCCTTTCCCCAGTACTTTCTACCCTCTAGTTCCTCGTTCTTCCCCTTCCTAAGAGGGTTCTCCCACCATGCGTCCCCCTAACCACCCGATTCCTCGCATTCTCCCTTACCTCAGTTTGGGATGGCAATTGAGATGAAAAGGAAGTTGTCTTTTACTCTAATTCTTTTTCTTTGCTACAATAAAGCAAGAAATGATAGAAGTTCTACCTTTTGCTTATAATAAACCCTCAAACTGTATTTATTAACCCAGATGAAGCCAAAATATCTGGTTTCAATGGTTAAATCAATTAAGAATATATTGGATAGATAGATAAGAGAGATAGAGCTCAAAAATAACATTATTTTATTAAAATAGAGATCCCACGTCATGAACCTCCAAAAATTTAACAAAAACATTTGGCGTTGGTGTGTTTGATATGAGTGACAGACAAGATTCAAGACAATATTTAGTGATCCTATTCAACAGTGCAAATCAAATATACGCTTAAGGTGTATTTAGATTTATAGTTATAATCTAAATATCTTGGTTCCTTCTAATCTATTATCCAATTGGAACATTTGGATCTGATTTACTAATTCAAAATCTCACCCCAAATCCCAGCCATGTCTTAAATCCAACCCTATTTGATCGATCCTACAATTATTTTTTGAACAAGTTGGGGGAGACAAAAAGTCAAAAAATAGTTGCCCAGAATCAATGAATCAAACAAGACACAGTCACGATTTTTGACCACAGCATAGTAATTTTCATTTATAAATATAAACCCTTCTAAGGAACAAATATTCTTAGTATAGTGTAATATGCTGCCATTTCTCCTCTTCTTTTTGTTCCCTGCACATTCTGCAGCAGAACTCTGTCACCCAAATGACAAAGCTGCACTTCTAGCATTTAAACACAGCTTCTCAAATCCAAATCCAATCCCTTCATGGGATCCTAATTTTGATTGCTGTAGTTATTATGGTGTGAATTGTGATGAGACCACAAATTATGTCATTGGCCTTGAAATGATATCTGATTATCTAACAGGCACAATCCCAACTGCACTAGCCAATCTCACACACCTACAAATACTCCGGCTTCAAAAGATGCCGAATCTAGTTGGTGAAATTCCTTCTGCAATTGGAGAATTGACAAATTTGAGATTCCTAGAAATAAGTTGGACAAATATCTCAGGACCAGTACCCCATTTTCTGGTAAAACTCAAGAATCTTGCATTTCTTGAACTTCAGTTTAACCGTTTATCGGGTTCCATTCCACCTTTGCTTGCTACTCTGCCATATCTTCGCGTAATAGACCTCAGTCGAAACCAACTTACCGGGCCGATACCTGAATCTTTTGGTTACCTCCCCAAGACAGCTGAATTCCCAGCGCTCGACTTATCTCATAACAAGCTGTCAGGTGACATTCCAGCATCTTTAGCAAACTTAAACTTTTCCTCAGTCGAAATTTCAAGAAACAATTTATCTGGAGATGCATCTGTGTTTTTTGGTAAGGGAAAGATCACTACTGTGATCTCCATTTCAAGGAACAATTTCGAGTTTGATTTCGCAAAGGTGAGTTTCATGGAGTCATTGGTCATTCTGGATATATCTCACAACAAAATTTATGGGAGCATTCCACCACAAATAATCGAGGATACATTGTTGCAGAGGCTAAATCTCACTTATAACAGATTGTGTGGTAAAGTACCCACTGGTTGGAAGTTGAAGTTTAACCCCGAGGGTTGGGACTACACATCCTTCTTTCATAACCGATGCTTGTGTGGGATTCCATTAGATCCATGTAAATGATGCTAGTCAATCTGTAATTGGATCAAAGTCAAAACATATTGCAGTTTTACTTTATTCAAAATAATGTTCATTTGCAATTGCATTTAGTTTTTTGTTCAGTACTTGACCTTGGGTCTTCTACATCTCAAAAGTGCGTCTCTTATGTTTACCTGGCTCGGTATCGTCCCTATGTTGGCCATGAAAATCGAGCTCTGGATTCTTTATCTCCACTCATCAAGTACATTTCCCATCATTGTAAGAGGAGTGTAATGCATTATGTACACTCAAGAGTGTACATCAAGCATCTCTCTAAAAATAGTGGCAACCAATGGACTCCCATTTTCAATCTATGACGAATCAGAATGCCCACATGTGTGGGACAGTATTCAAGCTATTATGACTATAAACAAATAGTAAAACCCACAAAAAAGACACTTTGGAGCTCACCATTTTTGACCAAAATCCTCGAGGAATTTCATAATCATAAAATAATAGCTATAAATAGAGTAATTCCTGCTCCTCTTACTCGTTAGCCGTTTCCAAGACTTTCCTTTAAAAAATAATAATAATAAAAGAGCAATTTACACACTGGCGCACGTCCCCCCACGCCACCCACCCACCCACCAACCAAAACTTTTGAGAAAATTTATTTATTTATTTATTTTTTAAAGTTGTGTTTGGTATCGATTGAAATCTAAATTTTAATCTAAATTAAAGTTAACAATTAATTTTAATAACATATTTCATGGAATCCATAAATATTTAACTTTTATCAAAATTTACTAAAAATTTGATTTTAATCTCCACCAAATAGATGTAAAATCACAATAAATTTGAATTTCGATAACATGCTAATTTTAAAAATTCTCCGACGATCGTACGCTAATCGAATCTACAAATTGCTTATGTCATCTCAAAACTTATTTCGAGAATTACATTATGGGCATATCGAATAGTCCAAACGGATATCGAACATAGTTAAAAATACATTAAACGTGAATCTTAAAGAAAGACGTCTAACTCACATTTTAAAAAAAAATCAATTATTTCATTAATATTTATTATTTTTGCAATACAAATTTATCAATGTGATTTTCATCATTTTATTAGAAAATTTTATATGGAATATAATATCAAAAATTTTCGAAATTTTACATCCGAAAAAGTTATATCTTATGTAAATTTTCGAATGCAAAATTATATGGGGTATTATTTTTTTGGACGTAAATTTTTTATTGTAAAATTTATCTCAACTTCTTTGCAATTTCGATTGTGGCCCCATAACTTCAAAATTCTGCGTCCGTCCTTGAATTTACACTCCTTGTCAATTTTTGGTTTTACATTTTCAAAAATATCACTTTTTCAAAATCTTTGTAAGATTGCTATTTTTGCCCCTCTAGAAAATTTAAATACCCGACACATTCTTGAGTTGACAACATGAAAAAGTTGTTCAAAAAGTGAAAAAAATGTAACAACCATCAACTCACAACGATACTTGAAATTTTTTTTTTTAAAAAAAAAGTTGAATCAAACCAAACCCAATTAATGTCTCTCATTCAACATCTTTACTAAATCCTAAACTCACACTCTTTTCTCTTATTCCAAATCCGAAAAGCTAACCGGGGTCACGGACGAATGCCTCCATGTTCGACCTTTTTGACGTTTAAACATGGATCAAAAAGCTTGACAAATATTTATCACGCAGCCACGCTGAACTGAAATATCCGGTCGCTAACGAATACCTCCATTTTCAGCCATTTTGATACTTAAACGTGGGTTGAAAAGCTTGACAATATCCCATTCGATTCGGATAAATTTGCTCAAGGTTTTAGATCGAATCTACCTTTTGGGTTTTAACACTGAATAATTTTTAAGGTATGGGCTCATCTTATCTTAATTCCTATATTTGTGTATAAGGTGTTTTAAGTTTTTCATTTGTTAAGTTGAGATCACTGGACCGCCCAGTAAAATATATTGGGTTAGGAGTTATAACTTGAGATAGGACAAAAGAAAAGAGGAGCCCATTTGTTTAACCAACTGTTTATTGTTACAGTAATTGATGAAATTGTGATAGTTTGCATTTTGTCTCTTTTTATTATAATTTTTTTTTTTACTGTAAAAATGGCCGCATATGAGGTGGAAGCAGCAGCGGCCGCTTTTACTGCCACTACGTCAGGTGTACATATGGAGATTTCGTTTGAATAAAAGGGTTGGTGTTGGCTTTGTCTTCCAGCTTCTTCATGGCGCCAATTTTATTGTTAAGAAGAAAGGGTTAAAGAAAGTTGAATGTGTGTTTATGAAGGTTATGGTTTCATATGCTTGCGCTATGTATGTGCATCTGTGTTCATTTATCTCTCTTATTACAGAAGACGAAAAATTGGGTTTTTTGCGTTTCTTTACTACGCGAAAAATATAGACACTTTTAATTATGAACTAGATCTATAAATCATGTACTTTTAATTTCCAATACTTCGTACATAACATAAACAAACATAACTATATTTTAAGAGAACTGCTTAATTTGTCAAAATGAAAATCTCGACGGTTATGAATTCTCGATAGATGACTAATTCTCGACATGTGAGTCAATATATCAGTTATGTGACTCATATGTCGAGATGAACTGTCATTTTCGATAATTTTAGTTATTCTCGACAATGATAAAATCTCGATAGATTAGTTGAGTCATCTGTCGATATAAATTTTCGTTTTCGACAATTAGAGTTAGTATATCTCGACAGATGATTACTTGTCGACAGATCAATTTTGCAGTCATCTGTCAGCATTATATTTAGGTAGCCGAGTGGATAATTAGATGTTGGTAAACTATGTTATGTTATTATTTGGTCTTTTGGATAATTAAAATAACTCATATTACTTTTGTGTTAGTGATGTCATCGACATACCGATAGCGACTACCATACCCGTTGAATGCGACGATGCTATTAACACAAAAAAGGCCCCGATCGACACCCGTTTAATTTCTTGCAACATCTACCAGAACTCCATTCACCAAGGGAAGGAGAAAGAGAATCAAGAATAGTGTGAGGAAGTTTGTTGATATTATGTTAAACACGATTTGATAGTTGTGTACTAAATGACTATAATTGCTTCACTCCAAAAATATGTTATAAACATTATTTGGTGGATGTATATATGCATCTCCAAGAATTATGATTCTCATATGTTGTGTTTGCTGGATGTAGCCATGTAGGATGGGCGTTGCTATTTTTTTGATATGGAAACTTATCATTTTAGCATTCCTTGTTTTCTCTTACATTTATTTACATTGTAGACATTTGATATTTGTTCTTATTTTGGTATTTATTACAATGTTAGTATTTTTATGCATGAAAATTATAAAGTAAGATAGACTAGCCCGGAAAAAGTCAAAGAATGCTTCTCCCATTATCTATTTAGTAATCGATTAAGTGATAACTATTTTGCAATCACGTAACTTGTGAGAATCCTTAGCCATTGCTTTTATGACACAAATTTTATTTGTTTTTAGAGGATTGATTTCTCTCTGTCTTTGACATATTTGTTGGTTTCTTTGATTAACACATGACATAATTGGATTACTTGATTGAAAATTAATTAGAGTGATAAAAGGAGATGGACGATAACGGGCTCCTTTTATCACTCTAATTAATTATATAAATATATATACTAAATGATTGCATAATATTCGTACCTTGAAGTTTGGCTCAAATTTTAATTATGACTTTACGAGCATGTGTAACTTTAAGATTATAGAATCAAGACTGTGTATCTATTAATGCTCGTGAAATCTCAACATTTTAATGAGTATTAATTGAGATGTCGAATAATTGTTTAATAATATTGTACGTTAAATGACTCTCATTAATTTCTAAATCATTAATATTGAGAGCAAAGTGTTCCACATTTTTGTCCAGGAAATGTTATTTTATATGTAGCAAAATATATAGAATCATGCCAACATCAAAGTTCTCCGCTAAAGTTGGCTTATGGTCAAGTGTTCCAACAAAACCTACAAGTGTACGTGATCGTTGACAAGTAATAATGTAGTAAGTTGAGTTATAGTCCCATGATGAATAAATGTAATTATAGTTTACTAATTTTTACTAAATTTGGTGATTGTAACACAAAAGAGTTGATATAAATATATAATATTTACGTTTTAATACATATATATATATATATTGAATAATTTTTATATTATTTAATTAAATATTATTAATAAACGACATCGCTCTTACAATCGCTGATTATCGACTATCAATGGTCAACTATCAACATTCGATTCGTTCACGTCAAACTTTTGTGTTGGATCCACTACTGCTGAAAATGAATAGAGAGAAAAGTGATTCTTAAATAATCAAATCAAACAAGGGCAATGTTTTATTTCAAATCATGGTAAACAACGATTTATGGGGTTGTGGCACCACTTGTAAGCATAAATTTTAATGATAATTTATCCCCTGTTTGGTAGCCTATAATTTATTTTACATTGTTTTTCATACTTATTTTCAACCACAAATTCACAAAACAAAATATTCTATACGTAAAATTAAAACTTTTTCCTACTTTTTAACCACACATTTTTCAAAAAAAATACTATTGTAAACATAGTTTTTAAAAACTAAGGCCACCAAACAGGGGCTTATAATAAAGGTCAATAGCTGAATAAAAATCTGAATCATCGCCAGCTTTGAGAGATTATTTTTTGAATAATTTTTTGCCAATCTTGCTATATGTATATCATGATTTATATTTTGACTCATCGAATTTATACTTCATACAATCCCATACCACTTTTCACATCTTACACATTTAGGATGTATTTGAGCCACATTATTTTAGCATAATGTATTTTGGAATAGTATATTGATGGAGAATGTGTGGTTGAAAAAGAAGGACAATTTATTGACGTGATAGAAAATATTATTTTATTGAAAAATATGTGATTGAAAATGAGTAGAAGAATGAGAATGTATCTCAAACATGGGCTTAATTCAATCATTATAACATTCTCATGA